TTGTTGTTGTTCCAACACTCCCAGGATCTCTAAATCCTCCTCATTGATTTTAATTCTCTAGTTGTTCCCATCTATGGTGTTGTTTGCTCACTGCTCCTTCCCCCCCCCCTCCTCCTCATCTTATATAGGTAGGCAAAATAACAGTAACAGAGACAAATCAAAAGATTGAATTTTTTTTTTTAAATCGGAGGGAAAACTAGTAAAAGAATGGGGGCGCATACATAATTCCAGGTCTGTCCTCTGAGCTTTATGACTATTTCTTCACCAATCCTGTGGGGGTTCTGGGAACTGGCTCTCCTAGCCTGAAGTCTACTTTACAGGCTCTTTGGGGGTTTTGTGGCTTTGCTTCTGTTGCTAATCTGTTATGTTCCCTTCTTGGTTCACCCCACTGTGGGGGTGGTCAGACTGGACTTACTCCCCACTGTGTGTCCCCAATATTACCTCTATTGCAGTATGCACCAGTGAGGGGACATCATGTCTCAAACTATTGTTTAGGCCCTGCATTCTTCTGTGCCTTAGCAGCTCTGTGCAGGGAAGTCATCCTCAGGACTTGCTGTGCCAGTATGGGGTCTAGTCCCTTGCTCTTTCCTTCTGTTTGCTTCTGTATGGACTTGGCAGGCCAACGCTCTCCCCAGTCCTCTATACACATACTTCCTAGGCCCGGGGGTGGGGTGGGGGGTGTCTTTCATAGAAGATTTTAAAATTTCATTAACATTTTTTCCTCTGTAAAGTTTTCTAGCGTGATCGATTACTTGATATTTGAATTTAGGTTACAAATTGACTGTTAAACCACAAAGTCACCAGTTCAAAAACATCAGCTGCTCCCTGACAGAAAGCTGCTACTGTAAAAAATTACAGCCTCAGAAACCCATTGGGGCAGTTCCACTCCAATCTCTATAAACACCGTTATGAGTCAGAACTGACTCCATGGGAGTGAATTTTATGGTTTCCAAGAACTTGTAGTGTTGTTATAATTGTTGGTTAGGCACTGGTTTCACTTAGATTTTTTGCAGTATATCCTGGTAGATGAATGTACTACTTTGTTGGCTAGTTTAGCAGCACCAGGCCACTTTTCACTTGTTTCCAGCTGGGGAGTGTGGGGGCATGGGTCTCAGGTAGAACATCTATAGGTGGATGAGCAGGTGTTGTAGACCATCTGTCATTGATCCAGTGGTATAGGAGTAGGCACACACTTGTAGGGTGCGACAGGATGTGGTCGGTAAGGCCTACTAGTGGAGAAAAAATGTTCACCTCACACAGGACAGAGTAAAAAAAAAATGGATGAGGAAAAATAAGATGAGAAAAAGTCAAGGAAGAGGAGAGATGTGTAACATAAATCAATAAAAAAGGATACGGTGGTGCAGCAGTGCTAACACACCCCTCTAAGTCAGTTGCCACATCCCCCCCCCAGTCACCAAAGGACCAGTAAGCTATGTTGGTACTGACCACAGAGGTGCATGCACATGCTTATTATGAATGCAGGAGGCATCTGGCACCCTATCTACCCATGTACACATCCCCTCACTCACTGCCATGGGCTCAATGCTGACTCAGCGACACCCTGTGGGTTTCCAATGTTTAGAGTAGTAGAAAGCCCAGCCCCCAGGAACTGTTGGGAGTTTCAGACTGTGGACCATGCAGAATGCAGCCCATAGCATAACCACACCACCACCAGGCTCTTCCTACACTTCGCTTAGCAGGGAGAGAACAGCCTCCTGGCTCAGTGTATACATGTGTTCCCAGACCTGGAGATGGAAGGCGTCTGGTACAGAGCTTGCTCACAAGAGCAAGCCCTGTGTTGACTACAAAACATGTGGTATGTGATGTGTCGGGGGATCACGGTGTGATTTTAAGTAAGCCAAGTGTGGGTTTACAAGAGTATGACACCCATGACCAGGCTGGTGTGAGTGGGGAGACCTGGAGTGTACACATCCTGGGCTTTACTCACTGGCATGGGCCCAGAGCTTATGCTCCTCTGATTCAGCTGGGGGTTGGGCTACTCAAACCACCAACTCACAGGTCTTTGCCTCCACATGACACCCCCCCTTCCCCCAACCCATAAGGCCAGTATTGAAGTAGTTAAATCTAGAGATCCTGCCCACTTTCCTTTATCGAGTTTGTTTTCCAGGGTCACTAACCCAAATATTAGCTGAGGCACCTAATTTTACCACAAAACTTGCATTTAAATTGTGCTGGAAAACTCAGCTTATACTCGAGTGCATACGGTATTTTGGATTCGGTGGAGTTGGCTTCGCTTAACCCATGTTTTCAAATGGCACTGTGTCAGGCTTCCATTCTCACTTTTTGTGATTACTGTTTTCATTGTTCCTTGTACAATTGGTGGCTAACACAATTCTTTATCCTTTGATTTAGTTTCATGAGTACCACCTGTTTAAGATGCTTTTTCAGGTCTTTGTTGTAGAGGGACAAGATTTCATGTGTCAGTAGAACACCATCTTTTCTGCTCTCAGCCCACTGAGTTGTATTAACTTGATTCTTAGTAACCAGATTGCCTTAAATTGGCAGATTGAAAGTAGTAATTTTTAAACCAGAGTGTCAGACCTAGCCTAAATATGGCGAGATGATAGGAATGGAATGAATTTAAAGCTGTCTCCCTTATCTCCAATCAGTAAGTTTGTTTTAATGTTTCTGATTCCCCCTACCACGTTTGAATGCTATTAATAGATGGTGTCTGCAGTTTCCCTCTGGGTCTGCTTCTGATAGATAATGATGACACTTCACAGCAAAAGCTAGAAAACTGAAATAGGTTAGCTATCAGAAGTCTTCAGGCTAGAAAGATTCCTGGAGTGGGTGGCTCTGTAATCTATCATCAAAAGCCATCTGCTGGGACATTCCAATGCAGAAGTGTTCTGACTCAGCAGTGTCACTGAATTTCACAGAATTGACATCGTTCGTATGGTTTCGAATACTCTTTCCTGTGTGTTATGAAGGCCACCTAGAGTTAATGAGCCTTACTTGTTTATAGAGCTGGTAAAGAACATTAGGTTTTATTGTGCTTGGGACACCTTTGTGACTATGAGGGTCATTAACCACTTCTCTTCACCACATAAAATTTACAAACTGATGTTATATAGCCACAAGTAGTGTGGGGACATTTTCTATCTTATGAAATTTGCAGCTTCCCCTTATTAAAATGAGTTAGCTGTATTTCAATTAGTTGTAACACTTTTATTTATTCATTTCAAATAAATACCTTTTGCTCACACTTAAAAATTGCTTTTGTTTCTAAAGAAAAGTAATCCCATATCTAGTTCTTAGGTCATGGCCAGTGGCTCATTAGTTGAAAATTGTATGACACTTCAGTGAGAAGGAAGATGGAAAGTTTTTTCACCATCTAACTCAACTTGATTGTTGCCTTCATATAACCACTGCTTCTTGAGCCTTTAGAGTTAATATTTCACATGCCCATCTAGTAGTTTACTAATAGGATACCACCTTCTTTACAATATAGCCATCCATTCACAATGCCAAATGTCAGTGCAGTTCTAAATTATATAACTTAATGAAACTCTTATAATAAACACATGACCTTCAAAAAGACTGAAAGAACAAGTCAATTTGAGAAAAACCACTGAATGCAAACTGACAAATTTATTTCTGAAATTAAGAGTGAAAAAACAAGTTTGTGCAGAGGAAGGAATCAGATGTGGAATGTATGGCTAATTGTCTCCATGAACAAACAGCTCTCTTGCTTAAGAACCGGACGTTGCTCAGCCATTACTGAACATTCTCTAGAATTCTGATCAAAGGAGGGAAAATGCATAACAAAATTTCAAAGTCTTAAGAAATCCCAACTCTGGAGCCACTGAGGCTAGGTGAATCCCAAAACTATTTTCAAAATAATCTTTAAAACAAAAATATCCAACCTGTAATTAAACCAAACGATGTTACTGTTGGGTCCCCTAAACTCAACTTACAGTGACCCCCACATGAGAGTAAAATTGGTTTTCTTGGCTTGTTAACCTTCACAGATCAAATCAGTTCTTCTGATCTGCTCGGTTGGTTCATAAGCTGCCTACCTTTTCCTTAGCAGCAGAGCATTTAGCAATAGGGCTATCACCACTACCCAGAGACATCAAATAGATCCCAAACCATCACATCCCAGTAAGACAGGGTTGAATTGCTTCACAAGGTTTTTCAGGTTGTAAACCTTCCCTGAAGAATGCTGCTGCCACACCGTTCTCCCATGAAGCAGCTGGTGAGTTCAAACTACCAAACTGTTGGTTGGCAACTGGACACTTTTACTCTACTACCATGGCTCAAAGAGGTTGGTAGTCATTTCATGGTAGAAATGTCCTGGCAGTGTTTCTGCCAGATTATAGCCTAGGATATTGACTCTTTTACTATATGGTCACAATGAGTCAGAATTGACAACATGCACCTAACAATATCTGCATTGGACATTATTTTAGGATCTATATGGGATCAAATTGACTATAGCAACTGCAAAGGTAGAGAGCCCTGGGTTACATAATGGGCTGCTGCCTACCACAAGGTCAGCAGTTTAAAACTCTCAGCCATTCTGCAGGAGAAAGAAGAGGCTTTCTACTCTTGTAAAGATTTACGGTGTCTGAAACCCACAGAGGCATTCGTACATTCTGTAGGGTTGCTATGAGTCAGAATCAACTTATTTGGCAGTTAAGTTTAATTAAGGAGGATCAATTCAAGGAGAGCGAGACTGGTTGTACGTTCGCTGAACTGTACATAAAGAAACTAGATTGTTTATTGGGTGGGGCACATGTTCTAGCACAAAACAAGAAATTACTTTGAACATAAAAATATGGTGTATGTATTACACAAGTGATGTTGAAACTGTCTCCTAGACTTTTATTAGACCTTATTCATTTAAATGTTTGTTTGGGGTTGATGGTTTTTACGCATAAATGTTAACTCAATTTTGTATGATTTGTCTTAATCATTTTTGTTAGAATACTATGAAATACAAAACTTTCATTTTTCTCCCGCCCTTCCCCTTCCAGGTGGTCTTCGAGGAGTAGCACGAGGTGGTCTAGCAGGACTAACATTTACCAGCCTCTATGCACTATATAATAACTGGGAGCACATGAAAGGCTCTTTAATCCAGCAGTCGCTCTGAAGATCTTGCCAGCTTGTGAGAGGAGGACCTGGAGATTGTTTTGGTGAAATGAAACTCATCAAGAGTGGCACTCTAGCCACAGAGCCAAACTCTTTAAAGGCTGAGAGTAATATGGTTTTCTTCTGCTTTGGAGACTGCACATATTACCCCTTAAAGAATAAAATCACTGAGTACCAGAATTCAGGTCATCTTTGTTGTCAGCTATATCACCAAGTTTGTTGATTTAACAAAACTGAACTGTTAATGTTCTCCCTGTGTTCATAAAGGCTTAAATAAAGAGCCATAATCTCAACGAAACCATAGTAGGGCTTTTTCTATTTGTAGGCATCTAGTTGGATATGAAATAAAAGCTACACTGTGTTTTTGTTGGTCTTAAAAGGAATGACAGTTTTTCTCCTAGAGTTGACTAAAACCTGTTATTTCAGATTGATCATTCTACAATTGCTGTGCTAGAAAAATCTGTGCAAAAAACATGTTTAATCTATGTATATTAACCTTTCTCCATATTGGGTATACTTAAAGATGAAAATTAAGAGCCAGAGGTTTCTGAAAGCAGCCTGAGGAACACTAAGGAAAATAAGGTCAAGTTATTTAATTTCCCAGTTTGCTTTTTAATCTAAAAATGAAGTTAATAGATTTCACTGCATGTTGTACATATACATAATAAACACTTAAGTTAGTGGCTTTTCTAACTGGAAAAGTAAACAAGGGGGCCCCTTTTAGATGTAATAGAAAGGCAAGAACCAAGCAGAAAAGAACTGGGCTGAAGTCCTCTATTTTAAAATATGTATTTACAGTATTTGTATCTAAATATATAGTTTTTAATATATTCTGTCTGCAACAAAAAAAATAATGGATGTGATGATTTTGCAGCTGGGGGAGGGGGAGAATTAAAAATGGAGTTAAAGTATTTGAATTTAAAATTCATAAAATATACTGACATTTTAGTAAATAATACAAACAACTTTTTATATACTCAACTTATTTCTCAGCTATCCTCTTAACTAAAAAGACATTTTAAAATTGGGCTAGCACATTTTGTGACTAGGTGTTTTACAAATACAAAAAAGTATATGACTGTTAATGGTTTAATGGTTTTAATGAGGTATTAAAAATTAAAAACTTTTGCATAGTGCAAAAGAATGTTTTACATGTTAGCAGGGTGATTAATGTACATTTATGAATGCACACCTGTGCTCACCTCAAAAAACAGTCTAGTTTCCTGCAACCTAAGATGTGAGAAAAGCTGTTTTTGGGGCTGCCACACAGGCATGAGCATAAGGCTCTTTTCTTACAGTGTGGTCTAAAGAATTCTAGTGAAACTATGGAACTGTTAGTTCCCTCTAAAGAACTTCTGAGTTAACATCACAAACATTAAAAGTATTTCTAATACTATGTAGTTTAGTTTAAATTCTGGGAAACAATGAAGGTCATTTTAGAGAATTCTTTCTGATAGAAATATTAAAATCATGAACATGACTTTTTAAAACATCAATAGTTGTTTCATGCCAAGGCACAAGTGTTCAAAATGGCCTGCTCACTAAAATGTTGCTGCATTACACGTTTATTTAGAGGTGTGTTACACTTACAGTGAGAGGACATTTATTTTAAGCACCAGGTGTCAACCTTAGCCTCCATTTATTGACACAGGATGTACTGCATGCAATAGTAAATAGTTCAAGTACAGTGTTTCCAATATGCTTTTGTCTCTTGCTTTTTGGTTAGTCAGCTTTGGACCTCTCTGACTATAGGTAGGTCTACGAAATACTTGGAAATGAGTTTAGGACCCTGCTACATGTGGTCTTCAAACAACAGAAACCTAAAAGCTCACTGGATACTTTAATAACATTAGCAATAAAGAATTGGCAGTAGTTGAATTTCTTTCATAAGAATAGAAAACTAACATGTAAGCTAAATATGCTTTATAAGTAATGTCAGAAGTTACCAAGATGATTAGTAGACATCTTGGTAAGGAAAAAAACAAAAAGGCAAGGTAAATTATTTCTGTGAAATATGCATTTCAGATCACTAATGGAAGGAAACCCATAGCATGGGATGCATCGAATGAGCAATCAATAGTCTAGGAAAGTTTCTACCTGTGTAACATACCAACACACTGTGATTACAGAAATAATTCATTTTGGAAACTACGGAGCTTTAATGTAATTTTCAGAACTCAATAGAAAGCTATACAAGCTTATGAAATGTTCCTATCCACCAAGCTGCTGTGTTTCTAATGTAAAGGTGAATTAGTAATACTTGTTTTAGAAGGAACTGAATTTCCTCAAGATCAATTTAACAGCTTTTTTCTTTTACATCTTCAACTTCTAGGTGACACGTTCTCTTCACTACTACGAAGCTAGGCAGGTAAAGACTAAGCTGGTCAGATTCAGAAACAATGATTTGGCAAGATGCAGTTGCTCAGCTCATGGATATGTGAAGACTTTGCAGAGAAGGTGCTCAACTCTTGCACTCCATTCCTTTACATCTGTAAAGAGAAGCCCACAAAGATAGTCACTTCACGTAATAGAAAAGCATATTCTTCCTATCTTGAAGCTTAGACTCATTTTTCAGTAGGCTACTAGAATTCTCAAAGGCTCTTGATCATTCTCAAATTTCCTTGATCATCTTGAAAGAGGTCTTTTTTTTGGGGGGGGGGGTCCTGATTTTCTTTTTTCAGAATTGAAATGAAATTCTACCCATCTCCTTCTCTTCTACCTCATTTGCCTAATACACATAATTTCAACAGGAGTAAGGTTCAACAGGCAAAGTAGGAACTCAAAGTTCATACTTAAAATATTTACTTTGTAAGCTGCTAAAACCAGTAGTAGTCACACTGTAGCCCATACCCACCTGTAAAGGATTTCGATACAACCACTTTTCTTTATCAACTTTAAGCTGCATACAGGCAAAGAGATCACAAAATGCTGGGAGGCCATAATGGTCTGGGGAAAATTTATGTTCCTCCTGTAGGGGTGAGTTAAGTAATACTTCCTGTTAAGGAGACAAAAAGAATGGGTTACTTTAATGATAACTGGGAGGCATGAGATTGACTGGGGTTTTTTTTCTGGCCAGGATGAGGTGGCAAAACAAAACCAATGCATTCAAAGTTGATTGACCCTGATATGACACAGAAAACTGCTCCTGAGGGTTTCTGAGAATAAACCTTTACTGCTGCAGTCTCATCTTTCTCCCAGAGAGCGCAGTGGTGGCTTTGCACCACCGGCCATGCAGTTTATCAGCTAAACACAAACCCACAGCACCACTAGAACTCAAAATATACAAAAATTTGTATCTGAATAATCATAATTCAGTTATACTGGTAATTCTTAGTCTACTCTCTATTCAGGTCCTAATGTGTCACCAAAATAAATACCTTAGCCAAATTAAAGGTCAGACTTAACTGAAAGGATATAGTAAAAGTGTTTCTACCAGTACATTTGTGTTATCTGTGCTGCTCACCTGGGCCTTCTTTCTAAGTAGCCACTTGTCCTCTCCACAGGATATCTGGCTTAGGTTCCCTATGCTCTTCACTGGCAAGACCCAGTCGGCTGTGTTGAACGAACCCCAGGAAGTGGCAATGGGGCTTACTTGCTTTTGTTTGCCAGCACTGTTCTCATTACTAAGCACTTTTGTGGGACTTCCTTCTTTGCATGATGGTCTGAAGAGCCACCCTGATAAGGGAGTGTTCCTCATGACTTGAAAGGAATCAGCAATTCTAGAAGGAGCCATGGCCTTTGGTGCCTTAGCTTGTTCTGTCGCCTCTTTTCTGGAAGGACAAAGCCACCTATTCAGGGAATCTTTACATTTCTCCAGCTCAGGTTTAGGAGCCACGGGCATCCCATTTTTATCCTTTCCTTCTTTCTTCAGAAGCCAGGCACACAAAGCTTCCTTCTCACAATTTTCATCACATACACACTCTGAGAAGCTTGTACAGGGCTCATTGGCTCTGCATACCTCCTCCACTTTACATAACTCTTGATGGTTCTGGGCAAGCCAATCCATGGGGGAGGTGGAAGATGGTTTCTTAGCCTCCAAGTGGTCATTCAGGCATTTCAGATTGCCCAGGTTTTCAATTTCCATAGCTTTTGGCTGATTGCCTTGGCAATTGATACAGGAATCGGGTTTGACAAGCCAATCACTTATATTAAAGGGCTCCTGAAAAACCTGGAACCAGCTCTGAGACTTCCCACTGGTTTCACAGCTTCCATTGATAGTCTTCTCCAGCGAAAGTGTTTCCTGAGGAGTTAGCAGCCAATCAGAAAGGTCCACCTCATCTTGATCAAGAAGTTCCAGATCTTCAATTTTTTCAACTTCAATGGAGAAAGGACTAGTGGAGCAGTTGTTAAGCTTTTGGTGACTTAGTTTCTTAGGAATTTCTTGTTGCTGACTCTTGAGAAGCCAGTTTTCCAAGCCCGTTAGGTTGCCCCAGATATTACTAGAGAAATCGTTGGCTCTGGGAGGAGTCTACACAAGAGACAAAGTATTAGTTCACCAGAATAATTCTGATTGCTTTGGGGACTCAATATAAAAGTGTTTTGTTTCCATATTTACTTTATTATTCAATGTTCTAACTTTAACCATGCTAAAGCAAAAGGATATAGAAATTTAAAATGGCTTACTTGATAGAAAATATGCTCATAAGCCTTTACAAATAAAGGATATTATCAAATTCAACAAACGTAAATGAAAACAAAAAAAAACCTTGTAAATGATACCATTATTAGAGTACCCTCACTACTAGTAGAAACAAATTGATATCTTACTGGAAAACCAAATTATGTCTTAAGGTTATATAAAACTATATTTAAGAATGCAATATCTGGAAATTTATTCCTAAGGAATTTACCAAATAATATGCACAAAAATTAACTACTGAAAGTTTATTGGTAGCCAATCAAAATATATACTACCGAAAACTTCATAGAATAAAATGGCAGAAAAAATATATCCTATTAGTGGAAAAAAAATCTTTGAAGTACAATACAAATACAAATAATATATACAAAAATGTTACTAGTTGTTTTGTACATCTTTTACAGTACTTCTTAACTTTCTATAAAGAGGTGTGGTTAATACAGTAAACTTATTGTTTCCAGAGTATAACTAAAACTAAACAAAGACATATCTCATTAGTTATTAGTAAAAACTACTTCTATTACTACAGCTACCTCAAAAACAAAGGCAGAAATATATACCTGACTATTCTCCAAGGTCTGCTTTTGGGTGAGCCAGTCTTGGGGATTTGTGCTGGGGACATACGGAGCCTGCCGACCAATAGTAGGTTTACTTCCAAGTAGCCACTCACTGAGAAGAACTGCTGTGGTGCTGGATGATGACATCTATAAATCATACAATATTTTGTTATTCAACCAAGCAATGTCAACTGCAGTAGAAAGTTCATCAGAAAAGCAGAAAACTCAAGCTAACAACAGCTTGGCATTAAACCTATGCAAACATCAACTTTCGGTCACAAGTGGAACTAACTGATCTCTAGAATTCTTCTCAATTCTGAATGCCTAGGATTCTACATTTGCACTGCATTTTGAAGTCACATCATCTCTATGAATTATAAAAAGGATCTCCAAGAGAGATTCAAGACAAACTATGATTATTAAGCACTAACTGAGAACAAGTATGTTCTGATTTAATCCACAGCTAGAAAACCTCTAAATTTCTATTTGATATTCAATATCAAGAGGAATATTTAATTCCATAAACCTCTAACATATTACCACTGGTGACTTTCTAAATAGATGCTATAAAAAAAAGGGCAAGGGGATTTCATCAAAACCCAAAAGAAATTTAAGTGGTGACTCTTATTATTAACAACAAGGCATTTTACCTGCTCTGGCACTGGAATGCAACCTCTCTTCTCCAAGAATGGTCCAGTAGCTGATGGATTAACATGAGTCATCAGGTGCTCAGGAATTTGCTACAAGATGAAGGCAATTTAATGTTTGCGTACATGTTGGGCTGCTACCCTCAAGGTCATCGGTTCAAAATCACTAGGTTTTCTACTCTCACATTTACAGTATTAGAAACCCACAAGGGCAGTTCTGCTCTCTCTTACAAGTTCGCCATAAGTTGAAATCAACTCCATGGCAGTGTGTGGTGGTGGTTTATACCAAGTGTGGTTTTTCATTCTTAAATTTCCAAGGCATTATGCTAAGCATTGTGCCACTTCACTAAAGTCTTCAGACTAAATCCAATGAGGTGGATTTAAAACCTCAGAATTCACTACTTCTAAACAACTATCAAAAGAAATCTTCACCAGAATTGGTAGTACAACACTGCTACTTTTTTTTTTTTAAGATCATTTTATTGGGGGCGCTTACAGCTCTTTTAACAATCCATGCATCAGTTATATCAGGCATCTTTGTCCATATGTTGCCATCATTATTTTCTAAGCATTTACATTCTATTTGAGCCCTTGGTATCAGCTCCTGTTTGTACCCTCCCCACCCCCCATAAAAATTATTATTAATTTCATATCTTTAATTAAATACTTTTATTGGGGGCTCTTAGATCTATCACAACCCATACATTCATCCATTGTGTCAAGCACATGTGCACATATGCCGCCAGCATAATTTTCATAGCACTCTCTTCCCACTTGAGCCCCTGATATCCCTTCCCTCCCCAGCCCACCCTCCCTCATGAACCCTTGAGAAGTTACAGATTATTATTTTCGTATCTTATATCATCCTCCGCCGCCCCTCACCCACTTTTCCATTGTTCGTCCTCCTGGGAGGGGGTTATAGATTGATCTTTATGATCGATTCCCCCTTTCTCCCCACACCCGCCCCTAATCCTTCCTCCTGGTATCTCTACTCTCATTGTTGGCCTTGAGGGGTTTATCTATCCTGGATTACCTGTGTTGCAGGCAAAAATGCTACTTTTAATGAAACCATTTTTGGTTCTTAATGACCATTCGATCACAAATTTAGTAACATTTCCAAAATACTTAAAGATGTACTTAGGAGTTCCAGAGATTTGTCAATAGAAGACGGATGAGACTGCCTGCTCTCAAAAGTTTACAGCCTTGGATACCCTAGGGAGGTCTACTCTGTCTATGAGCTGGAATCAACTCAAAGGCAATAAGAGTTTGTGTTTGGGCAATAAAATACCACATTGTAAGAACTATCACACTAAGGCTATAATTATGAAGCTTACGTTCTCAAAAAGCCATTATTCAGAGTAGAAATTTACAGGAAAAAAATTTTAAGACCATTTGTGAGATCACATACTTGAAAATCACTCTGTATGAGCCAGCTGAGCTCAACATTACTCACCATGGTCTTGAGGGACCCAAATGTGGTGATGGTCTGGCGCAGCACAGTTGTGTCTGCTTCAAACAGCAGGACAGTTGAATCTTCCGGTTTGAGTGTCAATCCACCTAGTCTGGTAAAAATAAGTAACATTTAGCTACTTTCTATGAATATCTGTTTCAACTTCAAGAAACTTAGCCTTAATACTTTAGCAAATAAATCTTAGATTCATATAGCAGGATGATCTCTAATCAGTCATAGAGAATTAACTTTTATTATACCAAAGTAAACGAGTCAGATATCAAAATAAGCAAAATGTACCTTTACCTCTCAAAACACACAGAGACTTGATTGGCTAGATCTTTGTTTTGGGAGAACTCCAGTTGATGTATAAGACAATTGAATTGGCCCAATAACTATAATTAAAAGAGAAAAAATAGATTCCATTCAGCCACAATGATCTAAAGTGTCAGGCTTTCCAAGTTAACAACTAACACATGAGATAAAACTTTTATCAAATCTACTTAAATGTTCCATTACAGGGCGATGTTCTCTAAACAACAGAAACAAGGTTCAAACCAATTTGAGCCTGGGAGCATCCTTACCCAGTAGAGTTGCTGGACTTGCTGTTGCAGTGTCTCCTCTTTAAGCTGATAAATGAGGTCAACCTGTTCATACAGCCACACCTCACGGCTTCTAAGGCATTCCAGGTGACGGCTTATGCAGCTATGAATCTGCGCTTTGACCTAAGAAATACATACAGGTTAACGTCACTGCTGTTAAAAGCCTAAAGAATGGTGTTTCCCGTGGAACACTAAAGTACGAAAACTTTTAGAGGGTTAACAAATCCTTTTGATAATCTATTAAACATCTCCCCAGTTTCTGACTCATGGCAGCCCCACGTGTGCAGAGTAGAACTGCTCCATAGGGTTTTAAAGGTTGTGACCTTTGGGAGACAAATCACCAGGTCTGCCTTCCACGGGGTGTCTAAAAATAACCAAACTCACTGTCCTTAAGTCAATTCTGATTCAGAGTGGCTCTATAGCAGAGCAGAACTGTCCTTGTGGATTTCTAAGATGTAACTGCGAAAGTAAAAAGTCTGTAGTCTTTTTCCCAAGGAGCAGCTGGCTTTACAGTTAGCACCCATGGTGTAAACACTATGCCACCAGAGCTTGATAATGGTGTCTCTAGGTGCAGCCAAACTACCAACCTTTCAGCTAGCAATCAAACACTTAACCATGCACTCAACTCAGGGACTCCTACCAACAGATTACTATTAGGCTAATTGTATTTAAATTCCATTCTTCCATTCTGACTTACCTTTACAAATAAAATCATTCCCAGAAACATGTCACTAAAACCATAACAACAGGCAGAGGACATCCTTTATCAAAATTATAGAGCTGCTCACTGATTTAGTTATTTTATGGATGGCAACATGACACAAGCACCAGAGGGGCAATCAAAAGGTGTTAAGAGCTGAATTCTCTAAAGTGGTAGCTTTCCAGACTATTCTAACATCTGCTTTATTTTACTTTGGGTCCAACGCCATCATTGTCAGGCAGCTGACTAGGATTAAGAAAACCATGCCAAGTACAAGGTAAATTCGGTTGGCAGTCATAAACTATGCCTTTGCCCATGTTCTAATTAGCCTTATGATTAATTCAGATGAAAGGGAAAACAACACATCACACCTCTCTGAGGTTATCTTTAATTTGCTGTTCAGCCCGAAGAACTCCACCAATAGCAAGCTCCAAGTCCCTTCGTGCATCACAGCACCTCAAAAGGGCCTCTCGATTACTGGAGCAAAGACCTTGATCCTGTGAGGTGCTCATTCTGATCACTGTGCCTTTAAAGGAAAAATAAAAGTAACAATGAATCTAAATAGCTCTATAATTACAAGAGCCACCTTTCAACCACCCCTCAAATAACCATTCCAACCAGTCCCAAATACCTCTCCCCCAATCCCAATACTGCTTACTGAGTAATAAACTATTACATAAATATCACCCCCAACTATGTTCCCACCATAAATTTGATTCAAGATAAATGACACTATGAGAACAGACATTTTACCAAAATGGTGTGAATCAATAGGGCAAAAGTTTGCAAAACACGTGGCAATATAATACTCCATTAATTACACAGAAACATGAGATTCGGATTCCTGTTTTCAGATTGGGATAAGCACTAAAAAGTCTACAAAAAATCCACATTACTTAGAAAATTATTTGACACATAGACTTCAGTATACTGTTCAGATTTGAGATTTACCTAAAATCTATTGGGAAGATGAAAAATACCTTTTTCTCATTACTTTCATTTTCAGATTTTTTTTTTAAATTTTGCTTCCTAAATTAAGGGTGGCATCACAGCTGGCAGACACTTAAAAGCTTGTTCAATAGTTATATGACTGGATTTTGAGCTCTCACTTGGTCACAGCCCTAACATAAGAACAATTAGTCCTTATGACATGGCCCTCTGGTATTCACCCTCATGAGATCACTGAAGTCATGGGTGCCTGTGAGGAAATCAGATGGTGCCCGCCTAACAGGAAATATAGCTCCTGGGATCTTAAAAAGCTTCACCCCAAACAAGCAGCCATGTAAGTAAGAAATTCTCTAAGTCCCCTGGAAGAAGGACATAGGCCTGTGTGATTCAAGGATTGCAAATAATAAGATCCAAATCTAAAAGAGGGAACAGAACCAGTGCCTAAATTCTAAGCACCTAGTTTGTGGACAGCTACAGATGATAGTGGTAGCCCAAAATCCATTTGCAGGTTTCCTGTGAGGAGAAAGCCCCAATGCATATCAGTTTGGAATGGTAACAGCTCTAATATCAGACAAAAAAGCCTGGTAAACTGGGTTTTAGCAGCTGCACTTAGCCTGGAATGCAATACCATGTGATTTGATCTCCTTCCGGACCCAATGTGAATTTATTCTAAAATTTTAATTTTCTCTTTGATTGAGGTCTTTACCCATTTTATATGGTCATTGATACTGGGTACTTATTTGGTGTTTGCCTTTTATATGTTTATCTGTATGGGGAAACCAGGATGGGCATAATTATGAAGGCAGTTATCTAGCCTGATGATGGTCTGGGGGCACAGAAGGGAAAGGTGAGGGAAATGGGGAGTCAGCATCAATGGATACAAGAAAGAGTTCCAAAGTTGGTTGTGGCAATGTTTGCATACCCTTCTTGATGAGTGTACTACTAAATTATATGACAAGCTAATGATAACTCAATAAAATAAAAAAATTAAAACCACATGTTGTTATTGGGCACATTATTAGGAATGTTATCTATAACTTATTTATGATCCACACAATCAAATGCCTCTGCACAGTCACTAAAACTCAGGTAAGGCTTCTTTCTGGTATTCTCTGCTTCCACTCAAGGTCCATCAGACATTAAAAATGGTATCAATTCTTCAATTTTATATTCTTGTAAATCCTACATAAGATTATGTGCAACAACAAAAAAAGATTATTATGTCCTGGAATCGACTAGAGGACATTGGGTGTGTGATCCTTCTTTGTTTCCAGCTTTTGCACTCCAATCAACAGAAATTATCCATGTAACTTGGTTTTATGTCTTACTGAGTCCGTGTTGGTAAAAATCTTCCATTTCTTCATTTTTTGCATTATTGGAGTTAAGACTTAAGACAAGATTGTATGTTACCTTTTGGACAAAGTGAGTATGGGCTAAATAGAAGTACAACTAAATTGATTCATTTTGTTTCTTACAAAGTGTTGAAAGGTTAACTGAAATCTAAAGCGTGTAGTGGCATGTCCCTGTTATTCCTCAACTGAGTCCCTTAATTAATTGGATGAAAACACAGGAGATATTAAAGGTGGAGATAACATGTGACTGCCAAAATGTTTACTTCCCATATCATAAATATTTAGATTCCAAAACAATCTACACAGCTGTTAAATGCAACAAAATAGATTCTCTTAGCATTGAATTGGAAGAGTACCAGGCAAAAAAAAGAATACATTGTTTTAAGAATAAATTTTTGAAAAGTAAGCTCTAGGTGACTTAAAAAGTAGTATGCTAGGTCTTAGGGAAAAAATGACTTACACTACCTGATGTCATTTAATGTAGAGCATCTCCCACCAACTCTTCTGTTCCATGTTCATTAGCAACTACATTTGGAATTTATTTGAGTAACAGGTTAGATAAGGGTATTTAAAAGAGAACAAGACCTCAAAACCACCAAATAAAAACTTCTCCAGGCAGATGAGCCAGTCGGTGTAGTGTAGCAACGATGAAATAACTTTCCTCTAGTTCTTAAATGCTTCTTCCCCCCACTATCACGATCCCAATTCTACCTTACAAATCTGGCTAGACCAGAGGATGTACATTGGTACAGATAGGAACTGGAAACATGGAATCCAGGACAGATGACCCCTTGAAGACCAGTGGTGAGAGTGGCGATACCTGGACAATGGGGGGAAGATGGGGTAGAAAGGGGGAACCGATTACAAGGATCTACATATAACCTCCTCCCTGGGGGACAGACAACAGAAAAGTGGGTGAAGGGAGACGTCAGACAGTGCAAGATATGACAAAATAATAATTTATAAATTATCAAGGGTTCATGAGGGAGGGGGAAACCGGGAGAGAAGGGAAAAATGAGCTGATATTAAGGGCTCAAGTAGAAAGCAAATGTTTTGAGGATGATGGCAACAAATGTGCTTGACACAATGGATGTGTGTATGGATTATGATAAAAATTGTACAAGCCCCCAATAAAATGATTTAAAAAAAAACAAAACTTCTCCAGGGCTAGAAGCTGTTTAGTCTAGGTAAGTCGTAAGGGGAGGGTATGATGAGAATCCTCAAGAATTTGAGAGATGCCATGCCAGGTATAGCAATTATATTCAGAAAAGCCCCAGGGAGGAGAAAAAGGATCAAGAGGCATGTTTCAGGTAATAATGAAAAAACGTCAAAACAAGCCTACAGGAAATGGCATGGCCACAGAAGCTAACCAAGGCCTACCCCGTGTCTCACTGCCTTGGAGTTGATTCTGACTGAGAGTGAGCCTATATGACAGGGCAGAACTGCCCCAGTGGGTTTCCAAGATTATAACTCTATGAGAGCAGAAAGCTTCAATCTCCCTTACCAAGTGTGGAGTCGTCAAAATGGAAAACTGCCAGTTTGAGGAAGTGAGGCCTAGCCTAGCTTTACGGGCCAGAGAGCAAGCTAAATGCAGGACAGGGACAAAGCAATGTGAGGCCAACCCTCAAAATAAAAAAGGAAGAAAAGTCCAATAGGCTTTCTTTTGACCATCTCAGCACGATTCAGTTTCAGAAACTGCAAAGTTCCTATAAGAAACTCTGAAAGATTCAGGAAGCTTAATCAGGTTTGTCAGTAAATTCCTCCAGAAATGTTTTCTACTATTTGAAACATCAGCTGTTTTACTACCTTCTTCACCCTTGGTACACACTCTAGAGTTTACTATCTACCCACTGCCACCAAGGCAATTCCAAGCCACACTTTAAAGGGTTTCCAAAGTTGCAAATCTTTCCAGGACCAGATAAGCTCATCGTTCTCATTTAGAGTAGCTGGTGGGTTTAAACTCTGAACCCTTTGGTTAGTAGTCCAAGACGTACCAGACAGCACAACAAGGGCTCCCCCTGCAAGCACTACATAAGGACAGGAGAATGGCGCATGACAAAGCATATAAACTAGATTTTCCTTTTAGCAATTATGGGCACAATCCAGGATGTAAGAAAAGCTGCAAAACTAATCCCCCCCACCACCACATATACACATTCATGTCTATCAAAATTACTATCAATGAAAAATAAGGACAAACTTAAGGACCCAAATCTAAGGTAGAAACACAACGGAATATAATTAAAATAATAACACTATTAAAGAGAAAATAAAAAACTTGGACCTACTATAAAAAGGACATGTATGCACACCAAAGACTTCAAAGAATCAACAGAGAACCCACAAATTGGGGGGAAATATTCAGTAATAATCCATCAAATAAAAGGCTCATCTGGCAACAAATGTACAAATGTGCTTGACACAATGGATGGATGGATAGATGGATTGTGTTAAAAGCTGTATGAGCGGCGCGGCTTCACTGGCTCAATACCTGAGTTACTGAACCAGTCCGCAAGCTTCTCAATAAAGCCTGCTTCTAAAACTTAAAAAAAAAAAAAAAAAGCTGTATGAGCCCCCAACAAAATGACTAAAATCAAAACAAAACCAAAAAAGGCTAATCTCCAAAATCTATCAAAAACTATAACATCCTAACAAAAAGAATACAAATATTCCAATCCAAAAATGAGAATATAACATGAGTGGACAATTTACCAAAGATGAAACAAAGGCAACCAACAAGAAATGTTCACCATCATTAGCAATAAGAGAAATAACAAATTAAAACTAATGAGATCACCTCTCACCAACACCTTTGGCAAATTCAATAAAACAGAAAATAACAAATGCTAGGGAGGATGTGGAGAGAGAGGAATGCTTTTACATTACTGGTGGGACTATAAAATTGTACAACCATTATGAAAATCGGTATGACACTTCCAAATGCAAAGAAGTACCTACCATATGATCCAGCTATCTCTCTATTGCGTATATACTCTAAAAAAATGATATTTAAAAAAAAGAATAACACAAATAGACATATTTATACCTGTTTATTGCAATTATGGCCACAATGGCAAAAACATGGAAACAATAAATTTTAAAAAAACAACAGAGAAATGGACTCTGATACATTCATATTATAGAATGTTATGCAACTATAAAAAACAATGATAACTCTCTTAAACACAAGACAAAACTCGAAAATATTATTCTTAGCAACTCAGTC